GAGGGGGCCGACGCGGCTAGGGCGGGAGGACCACTCGGCGTCTAGGTCGTCGGCCTGGAGCGAAACGGATTCGGCACGTGAGTGCGTGAGGAAGCCGGCGGCGCAGTTGTCGATTCCAGTGGACCACTGCATCATCTTGTACGCCGCGAAACTCATGGTTGAAGGAGACGCGCGAGATTCAAATTCGGAACTGAAACGGTTAAAGAGAAAAGGATTGGGTTATGTTGTTGGAGCTTAAACCCTCGATTAGGGTTTAGGTTTGGCGGGACTCAGTATTTCTGTGAGTCCCCTCACTCTGATATCTGCCAGTGTAGCTCACTCTCCGCGGCGAGGGAAAGAATTTGAGTTTGGCTGGAAAATATTTTGGAAGAATTTAACAAAAAAAAAAAAGTCAGTGACATTTTATAATTATTAATACACGTGTTTGTTTTACTTTTGTTGAATTAAAATTAATGTAAATACTAGCTTAAAATTTGATATGTATGTATTTAAATGATTTATTTACTTTTATGTTATTGTGTTATAATTTAATAATTGAGAAAATAAATATAATGCGAAAGAATACAACTTTTGGAAGTTATAAAAAATTAAAAATAAAAACTTTAAAAAGTGAATGAAAATCAAATTTGAGGGTTATTGTATAAGGTAAAATAAAACTAAAGAAAATAAGAAGAGTGATTTTACGTTAAAGGGTGTATTAAAAGGAATCTAGTTTATATAGTTTTACGTTAGTACGGTAACAGCTTAGAAAATAAATGATTAGAATTGTTAGGTGTTTCAAAATACTAAAATTGATTATTTTAATGTTAAAAAAATTAATAATATAAAAAAATTTATAAATGTGTCTCGTTATCTAAAATATTAATCATTTCTATAATATTCAATTATGTTAGTTTTCTCTTTCTTCTAAGAGTTCTAATTATTGAGACATGTGTTTGTGTTGGGTATCCAAGTGTGAGTCCAAGTGTCACATTTGATAGAAATAAAAAAGTAGAGCAGTATATAAAGATGAAAGACCCATTAACTCATTGCCTTAAGGTTCTGGGTAAAGAGTGGTGTTGATCCCTTATATAGTTAGCTCAGATGTTATTGGTGCTTGTGTAACCCATAGGGAACCTCCTCCTCGATAGACCCAACACTAGTATCAGAGCCAGGTTTGTCTTAGTGACCGGCTCAGACGAGTATAATGATCCCTATACCGAAAGTCTTCTTGGCAAATGGTATCTAGGTAAGCGAACTCACCCTTGAGGGGGAGATGTTGGGTATCAAAGTGTGAGTCCAAGTCCCACATTGGATAGAAAGACCCATTAACTCATTGCCTTAAGGTTTTGGGTAAAGAGTGGTGTCGATCCCTTATATAGTTGGCTCAGATGTTATTGGTGTTTGTGTAACCCACAGGGAACCTCCTCCTCGATAAACCCAACAGTAGGTACTTAAATCACGGCGACAAAACCTTAATTTCTAACTGATTGGTTTTATCTTTAGAGTAAGTTAGTTTTTATCCTTATTTGTTTCGCTATTTTAATAGGCATGCGAGTTTAGTGTCATTGCATGTAGCATCCATCTTTTATTCTAAGTTTCTTGTCGATCAGTGGTCTTAAAGACATACCTTGATCACGATTTTATGGTCTATAGGTACAGATAGAGCTATCTTAGCTGAGACGGGAATAGTTTGCTTTGTAGAGCTTTCCAACCAGGTAATGAAAGTTAATATTGTCCTTAATTTTGTGTTGAGATGTATGAATTTAGGTTTGATATGTTGTGAGAGATTATGTTTGGTTGAATATGTTATAATTGAGTTTATTGTTGAATGATGTTTGTATATTGATGAATATTGTTGGGTATGCTTAAGAATTTGTACTAGTTTGAACATTTGATGATGTTGTGTTGGAGTTTAATTAGGTACAAAACTAATGTAGGATTGTAGGTAGTTAAAAGGAAGTGTTGTGGGGCTCTTTTTAGTTTGAATTGGGTTTTTTGGTGGGTGAAATTATCGAGGAATGACTTTGTGTGATAACTGATGTTTGAGATTGGTATTAGAGGCATTTAAAACTTGTATAAAACCTTAGATAACAAAAAGGATGATGTAAATTGGAGAATGTTGAATTCGTGAGAGTTGTAGGCTAATTTAGTGCCAGGTAGGAGTTTTGATAGGTGAGATTTTAAGATAAGGGTAGGAGGGAGAATCTTGAAGTTTAAAATTTGTTTCTATGTTATTTAAGACATGTTTAGAAGTTACATTTACCAAATTGTGACTAGGAATAAGTAGGAATGAATTTTGAGCTTTATAATGGTGTTTTAGTTGAGTGAGTTAGAAATTCATGGGAAAACAAGACTAATAGAGTTTAAGGTTAGTCATAAACACTTGGATGAATTTAATTAAGGTTTGGAATAGAAAATGGGAGTTGTAGATGCTTATGAAGGTATGAGAGTTATAACATTTGAGGTTGAAGGGCGTAAATTTTGTAAAATTGATGTTTTGTAGACTAGCGGGTCGAGTAGAGGGGTCGTTGGGCGAGTAATGTTGATGTTTGGCAATGGATTTCAGAGGTTGGGCAAGATTTCTTGTTGGGATGAGGAAGCTCTTTGTTTGCACTCTCACTGGGCGTTAGAGAGTAGCTTGTTAGGCTAGCAATTTAGTGCTGAGCGCTAGAATCTGACACTAGGCGCCCCGTGTGCATGTTTTATTTTTTTTTTCTATTGCTTATGAATGGAAATGTTTTGATACTTTGAAGTTTGTTCAGTAATATAAATTAAATTATATGATAGGTTAAGTATGTATTAAAGTATGGTTTAAAAAGAATTTCTAAGATGAAATTCTTGATGGATGATTCAAGTAATGTATGTATTATTGTAGAAGCTCAATATTTAGGGTTATCGTGATACTCTAACGGTCATTCATTCTCAAGTAGAAAGGGGTGAGACATATAGTGAGAGTAGCATAAGGTCATAGTTTAGGGGCTTCATCTTGGCTTAAGGAGTTTAACGAACTAACCTTGTGTGTGGTAGGGCGAAACCCATTGGCAATGACTTTGCAAAGAAATAGAGACCATCATAAGTGCACACAACATTAACTCCGTGTTTAAGTGTTATGATATGTTTAAGTGTTATGCTTAGTTTGAAGGTTAAGATATTATATGCCAATTTATGAACTCCATGTTTTATTCTATTAACATTAACTTACTTTTTTTGTGTTGTTTGTTGTTTGTGCTTGTTGTATGAATTTGAAATGATCACTTGACGGATGTGAGCAGAGGGAGGTGAGCAAATAGTGGAGCAAACCCTAGGGGCGAGGGTTCATTTGTATAGTTTGCTTAGTGTGACTAATGTTATCTTTTGAGTCGTAAAATAAGAAACCTTTTATATAAGAGTAGATAGTTTAAAAAGTAGAGTTTTGTATATAAACTCGACTTATATGTTTTGGATAAGTGTATATACATTTTTATATACTTTCTATGTTATTAATTGTTCTAATTTTATTGAATGTGTGATATTTCCTTAATAGTGTTTACACTATTTAAATGAGATATTATAAGTGTGATTGACATTTTTGTGATATTAAATATTATTATCTGAATTAATTTTGAGAATAAATTGAAATAAAAACAATTAAAAATAATGTAATTTTGTTTATTGTTGGTAAAAATGAAGAGTTAATCAATAAAACAAAAACCCCAATTTAAACATGTGTTGATTTAAGTTGAGAGAAATTAGTTTATTATGAATTATTAATTTTATGGATAAGCATTGTTTATAGATGATTTTTTTTACTTTTGTTACGTTTATTTTGTTTTAATTAGATTTGTTAATAATTACTAACACGTACTTTCATTTACCTCCAGATACAATATACCTAGCATAGCTACAAAACACAAAAAGTAGCTAATATATAAGCATACTTGCTCACTTCATGAAAAATGTGGAAATCTTCAAAATTTAAGCAACAACTCATAGTCATACAATACTTCTAAAGATGGTTAAAATAATTAACAACCCCCATAAAGTTCATTTCCAACAATAAGGGATTTAACCTCTAATAATAGTCAACATTACATTTATAAGTTTAGCCTTCATAACATTGATCCTAAGAAGAGAAACATCTTTTATATTCACATATATTTTCTCCAAAATCCGTAAACAACACTATCCACATTACATTTCACAGAAATTATAGGAGATGATTTCCAAACAAACATATAAATAGGAGCCTTATCAACATGAATGTGATATTAAATTTGTTATAATTACAAAATCATCAATATCACTATTTAGAAAGATGAAGTGTCATGCTAACACCTTCTATAATAAGTTTTTTCTTTTTTAATTCATACAAAAAATAACCCAACTGTAAAATATTATTAAAATGTGTATTTCTATTAAAAACATGAAAAAGTCATTCTTCTAACACAAAATTATATATATATATATATATATATATATATTAATTAAATATTTGGAGTTTTTTAATTTTTGGACTAAATTATACATTTGATCTTTTAATTTTTTAATTTATTTTGGTTTGTTATGTTTATAAAACCAATTATTTTATATTTTAAAATGAATCAATTTATTCCTTCTATCAATTAAAAATGAATGTTGTAATAATTTTAACCATATGATTATAAAGTTGTTACAAAATATTACTCATGGTAATAATTACTTAAATGTTTAAAAGTAATTAAATTATAATTTCGACCCCTTTAACTTTTAATTCATAATTTTAATCTCTATTTTTTTTTGGCAATGTTAGTATCCAGATTTTAAAATTCTAAAATTTTGTATCCAATGATTAATCGTAACTAAAATCAGAAAATGAATATACCAAAATTTCACAAACTGAGAATTATAGAGAACCAAGTAACTTGACTTAATTTAAAAATTAAATCGTCTTTACAAAGAAGGGGACATATTTACTTGTTCAAGTTTTCTCATTTGAAATGAATCTTACATCATCCATAATTTCTCATCTGGTTACTTTCTTCTTGGCTAATGCATGAAACAAATCAATAATTTGTTTAACAGATTATATAAGATATTTTGAGGGTTCATTACAATTTTAATTTCATAATGAAAAAGCTTCGCTGTTAGGAAAATTTGACAGAGATACAACGTGAAGTCAAAAAGGGTGAAAAGTTAAGAGGGCAGAGATGATACAGTGTGTGATTGCCTTTCCACCATCACACACTGCTTAAAAATTGAGCTCCACAAAACTTGTATAAATTAAAAAAGAATAAGAAATGCATCACCTCCAAAATGGAGTACAACAGTGTTTGGAAACAACCATTAGAGCAAGCAAGACATTTCTTATGTTTGCCTTTTGAAACTCAAATCAACATCTCCTCCATCAATCTGCAAACACAGAAACCGTATTTGTACATTAACATAAGGATTTAGCCAGCCAAAGCAACAAAACTTGAGACTTACTGTTTTAGCAAGTTCTTTGGCTTTTTCATCATCGAAACCTAGAGAAGCCAAAATAATTTGTCCTGCTGATTCTTTCTGTGACCAAATTCCTAGAAGCATATGTGTCACGTTTATTTCTCCTCCTTCACCTACATTTTATATCATAATTTTAGTAAATACACAAGACAAAACGAAAATTTTTTGAGTAAGATCATTATGTAGCAAGTTCAATATTGTACAAATGCAACATTACATGGTCATATTGCAAATACATTAGACAAGCAAAACTGGACAAGGCTGAGGCACAAAGTTATAAAACCATTATGGTTAATCATGTTTTTAGTCCCTAAACAGTTTGCAACTTCATTTAAAATTAATTTTCATATTTCAGCATCTTTCTATCAAAAGAGGCACAGCTTTTTTCTACTTGACAATGCAAATGCACCAGTGGATTCATTTCATGCAACAAGTAACTAACAAATGGAAATGTTTGGGAAAGGAAATTCCCAAATGGAACAATGAATCTAGCTTATGATCATTTGTAAAAACCATGCTTACCTGATTTCAGTTTCTCCTGAATAGCCCATTCAAGGGCTAACTGGGCTGGTTCAGTCAAAGGAGGATGTTCAGGGCTGAAATAATACAAGTCAGATTTGCCAAGTAGGTTTAAAGTTTCTTCACGTACTTTGAAAAGTGTAATTCCATTGGCTCTTAAGAATTTAGCAGCTCTACTTGTTCCTGAAAGAAAAACAAAAAATGATTAAGATGGACCAATACATTCATCAGGCCAATGCATCGGTGCCGAGGTTTAAAGTATCTGTAAAGTGTCAGCAATTAAGAATAAAAGAGTGTTTAATATACATATAAAGAGTACTCAGAAGTTCCAACTGTTGCTTATTGGTACAGCTAATAATCCCATGTTGTGAATTCTCGTTGTATTTATTTAGTATCCCATGCTAAATAAAACAACATGTCCCAAGGATCCACACTCTAATCCTTTTTTTTTTGTAAAATAGCCTCATATATAAAATTCCACTAATATATATAACAATCATCTTTTTTTCATATAGTCATTTTTTTTTTCTTTTTAGTCTTATATTCAACTATCATCATTTTTATTTTTACATTATTCCAAAAGTTAAACATAAATAAAATATATAATTTATGCGATCTATTCCATGAAATCATATTCAGGATTTGATATTTAATCACCACTTTATTAAAAAAACATGCAATCTTGGTAGAAGCAAATTTCACTCTTACTATTTGTATATACATTTGGATAATATGTAATAATGATTTCTGTGAATTATATGTATGCATAAATATATACTATGAACGTATCTTAAAATATTGTATCTATCTTTTTTAAGATGAGACGAATAGTCATTTGACATGTATCCGATACTTGTATCATTTCCGTGCATCATAAGGGCATACAAAAGGCACAAGTGCAACATTTAAATTGATTAATTGCTGAAGAAGACAAAAGACCTTTAGGAATTCAAATGGCAGGATCTAGTGCCAAACTTATTTCAACTACGAGAAACGAAGTAGATTCTAGTGCCAAACTTTAAATGGCATATTTGGTTTAGGTTTCACAGAATCTGAAGTTATAGTGACAGCCATGTACATAGTACCAATTTCCCTTCAATAATAATGAAACTATGAAACATGAATACAACCGCTCAAAACGAAGAGGAAGAAGCCACAAGTAAATGATCATCTTCAATGAAAACTTGAGTATGTCTAGAGATATATTAATGTTGAACCCATAACTCATTTGGAAGGATAAAACAGAAAAAGAAATTATAATCCCCCATGACTATTCAAAAAGGATCATTTGCATCTTTACTGATATCCATGCAACACAATACATGCATGTCTGCGTAACTTTATTCATAAGCACTAAAGAGAAAGAGAAATTAAGAAGTAAAGTAAATTCTATTGTAAATTAAATCAACTTATGCACTAAACATTAATAAAAAAGGTTCATTTAACTTCTCCAAAAAAATCATTTAACTTCTCTTGTAAAGTTGAATACACCTTTACAAAAACAACTTAATTCATTTTACTATCTTAATTTTTATCTCCTATATAAGTGTGAAAAGGTTTAGGCTCAAATCCGCTTTTTATCTCCGTAGTTTCTTCTATGTGCAATCTTGGTCCT